GTGTGTGTGTGTGTGTGTGTGTGTGTGTGTGTGTGTGTGTGTGTGTGTACACATACACAAAAAGAGAGTAAGGCCATCCAGGACACATCTCCCTGCTAACTTACGTATCTTGTCTGAATTCAAAGTACTGTAGTGTGGCATCTGTCACTTTTGTTTCCCAAACGGTTGAACAGAACATGGGGACACTGGATTCACCCCTTCCCTCCCAGTGGGTAGAGTGAAGCAAGGTAGGAGAAGAGAGGAAGACATGGACCAGATACAGAAACTCCTCCAGGTGTCTGTCCCAGAAAAAGCAGAGGATCCATGACATCCTTGTACACCACCCAAGACAGCTCATAATTCTAACACAGGATCTCAAATATTTCTGGGTGTTTATGGAGCCTCCAGGACATGTCCCAGTTACTTAATTCCTGTCCAAGCAGTGCTCAGAACACTGGAGGACAAGCAGAGACCTAAAGTAGTTTCCAATTCCTGACTCCACCCCGTCCCTTCCTGCTGGATTTCTTCTTCTTCTTCTAAACTTACAGCTTGGGATTCTAGCCAAGCCCAGGACCCAGGGCCTCTTGACTGCCCAGGGTTCCCCTTTCTAGGATGCTCATTTGTGGGCTCACAATAACAAATGATTAGACATCAAGGACAGCAGTCAAGGTGGTGGTGGTTCTAAGAAAAGATGACCCCCAAGACTCAGAAGAGACATCAATCCATGGTGGCCCAATACTTACCCCTGTAACTTTCCTATCTCTCCATTGTGGCTGACAGTTTGTACAAGGGTCTCATTAGACACAATAGTAAATGGCCCCATTGGGATCAGCTACAGAACTGAGGAGTCCCAGACAACTCTCGGTTCAGTAAGGGACTACAAAGCTGCAGGACAGTAGCAGCCATGATTAAACAAACCCAGGGTCCACCTGAGCCCAGGACCTATGCAGGAGTCTGGGTGGCTCATCACCATGCTGGCTCATCAGTGAATCCAGCTGTGCCTGCCACTCTGGGCACTTGGGGAGATTTCAGACCTACCTGGATATGGTCAGGGGTCTTGTTAACAGATTCAGAAGACATTGGACTCTCAGCGTATCCCCTCTCCTGTATCCTTTATTACTGAGATGTTTAGGTTGGTGAGTGACTCTTTAAAGTCATGACCCAGAGGACTCTGACACCAATGAGCTTCCAGAGAAAGGAAACTATGAGGGAGAATAATTAGTTGCCTTTCCATGCTGAGGGGTTGTGCTCAGCCAAGATCCCAGACAAGGATCCCTAGGCAAGTTCAAGTAGATGTCCCTAGAAATGCAGAGAACACCCAAGGAAATGCGGTTAGCGTCATCCAGACCAAGATTGAAGGGATCCAAGAGACAAGCTGTGAGATAGTGGCCACGAGGTCATGCCCTATAGCTGCTTACAAATCATGTCTTAGCGCAAGGGGGACCCCAGAGGTCCAGTGGGAATTGAGTGGAAGATAAGACAGTGAAACCTTCTTTATGGCCCCGGGGGAAGGTGCTTTTTATCAAAGGTGACACCTAGAGACACTTAGATACAGTAACACCTGCTACTAGGTACTTGTGAGAGATTTTAAGACTGGACAGAGAGGCACACTGGGGCCATAGCTGTGGACACTGGGTTCAGCCCTGGGGAGTGGCAGCCCTGTGAGCCACATGTGTCGCTCTGGCTTGGCATCCAAGATGGGCAGGAATGGAAGAAGGCCTTGCACAGGATGGATGTCATCTGGGTCTGCCAAGCCTACCTTCCTACTCTGCCCTCACCTCAAAGCTGCTCTCATTGAATTCGAAAGAGGGTGAGTAGCAAGGCTCGGCCCAGTGAGCCTCTGGGGCAGGAGCATTGAACTCTGTGAGCATCTAAAGCCCCTCCCCACCACATCTCAAATCCAGCATTGGGTTTCTTAGGGGCTAGGTTCTCAGAAGGGGAGGTGGGTTGCCCCTGGCCTGTGATAGGATTCGTGCTGCCTGGAGCCACTGCAAGAGCTGGACTCTGCACTGTGGCAGATTCAGGGGTCAGAATGAGGTGGGCTGAGGTCTGTGCATAACACCCTGAAGCCTCAGGCCTGGCATAGAGCCACACTCCTCCCCCAATCCCCGGGCCAACTCACTCAGGAGTGTTGATCCAGATGATATCCAGGTGGCAATAGTAGACACACTCCTTGTCCTTATAAGTGAAGCACGTGCAGCGCCGAGGTCGGTGGTGTGCAGGCACCCCCTTGTCCTCCTGTTTCACAGACCTGCCTGGTCTTCGTTCCTGCCCAGCGCTTCCAGGCTGTGCAGGCAGTGCAGCTGTTGGGGACACAATCCTCTCACCAGGAGCAGCCACAGTCTCCTCACAGTCCCCCTGTGATCCAACTTCAGGGGGTCCCTGGGACACACTGGCTCTGCCAGAACCCCCAGGCTTGGGGCAAGGCACAAATCCTGCAGGAGGAGGATTGAAGGGCTCCTAAGCTACTGACCCAGAGTTCTTGGCACCCACTACCCCGCCCCCCAAACCAGAATGAGACTCAACCAAACTTCTGCAATGTCTGGAGGCTGGTTGCATTTCACCCCCAAGTCTCCAAACTAAGCCAAACGCCTTAAACAGTTTACAAAGCTCCATGCACACTAAGTAAAAACTTGAGAGTTATTTCAGTCCCTGTGAAGTCTGTAAGCTATTTGCTCGTCACTGGGTGAAAGTCGATTTTGTAAAGTCTCTAAAAAGTGTCCAAAGAAAGTCTTCCAAACTGAAAACCCCCAGACTCAGTGGAAGTTATCTTTGCGTCTTCAGGCCCCTCTACCCGCCCCTGGGAGACTTCAGGGTGCAAAGTCAGACTTATTAGCTTCCCCGCAACACAGACCCGCGCCTGGCTTCCTTTTGTGTGCACTCCCGCGTGGAGAGGCGCGCCGCCCCGCCCCTCCCGCTTACCTGCAGCGGAGGTCACTGTGAGCCCGAGAAGGAGCCACAGCCCCGGCTCCATGAACCCCGATCAGGCGCGGGAGCACCGGGCCTGGAGGGTGGCCGCTTGTGACCGCAAAAGGGTAGTGAGACTGGTTACAGCTTTTGAGTCCTGCCGCTGCCTGAGCTGCGCGTCCCGGCTCAGAGTTACTTGGCTGAGGCGGTCACGAACTTTCAGAGCGCGCTGCCCATCCCTGCGTAGGGCTGGCCGGCTGTGGCTCGGGCTTTTCTGGCTCCCGCACCACCCCCTTTGCCTCCCCGCCCCTCCGAGGGGGCTGGAACTGCCGCGCCGAGCCTTTGAACCCGGGACTCGCGGGGGTCGCTTTCCAAGCTCAGAGGGGAGCCGACCAGAGGCTCATTTGCCCCAGGCTCACCCAGAGCTAGAGAGAGGCGGGGACGCCGCGCTCCCCGAGGGTGGATGGGGTAGGGTGAAGGCCCTAACAGCTGCTTGAAGGCCACCCTCTGCCCGTGCGTACACTGCTCACTTACTCTTAAGATTCACACTTGAACCCCCCTGCCCAGCCCAAAGCAACCGCACCCCGACCCCAAGAGCACCAAGACCATGAAAGGGCTGTGCAGAAGGACTGCGGGGTTTCTTGTTCCTTTGAGATCAGTCTAAAGGAAAAGCTCTATTCACCAATGGCCTTACCCTTGCTGAGGGCCCTTGTGCCACGGCCCTGGGTGTACTTTACACTTCTGATTCATGGGTGCTAGAGCCAGTTCCCTGACTCTGGAAGTTCTGAGTGGCAGGTGGGGCTGTGAGACCAGAGCAAAGTCACAAAGATTCCATTCAATGTGAGTTAGCGGTTCCTGGGGAGCCCCATTTCCTCACGGGTCCCTTCAGTGAGGGACCTCTCTCCAGAGGTCCACAGGTGCCTCGATTCTCAGGGCACTGCGGTAGTTTAATGGATCTGCAAACCTTCAACTACTGTCATAAAAGGTGGGTTTTTCCTTCCACCCATCCCCAATGTTTCTAATGATTGGCGTTCTAAAAAGTAGAATCCAAAGGGGTGGCCCAAGTGGCTCTCATGAGAAAAGCCATGAAAGGAGCACAACTTTCACAAACTGGCTCAGTCTTCATTCCAAGAAGCCCAAACCAGCCAGGCAAAATGGTCTCATGGGAATCCTAAATGGAGACTGAGGTGTCACGACCAGTGTCAGCCACTGGCATGGAGAAAGCAGACTGTAAGTAGAAAGACACTAAAGCCCCTGTCTCTACGGATTCCAGCTGAAGGCCAATTGGTTTGGACTGCTGTGTGTCACAAGGCACTTTAGACTGAGGGCTCATATACAGAAACATACTGCTCACAATTCTGAGTCCTTGGATGTCCAGGCATGTCCGGTGTCTATCATAGCTCATGGATGGCTCTTCTTTAATGGCAGATTGTAGTGGAAGACCAAGGTGCTCCCCGGGGCCTTATCTATGGCTAACTACTACAATATAGTTCACTAACCCTATTCTTGAAGGTTCACTCTCATGACCTGGTCACCTCCAAGGTCCGACCTCCTAACAGTCATCTTGGATTTCACCAGGTCAAGGGAGATATCTATTACTCTCTCTTTCCTTGCAGTTAAAATACCCATCTGCCTTAGTTGAGGGCACTGACAGCTCAGTCATCTTCACTGGCCTCCGTGGGTGGGGCTAAAGCAAACACTGCCCGCATGGACCGGTGCCCTGGGTCTTCACTCCAGCTGAGATAAGGAAGGTTAAAGGTGCAGAGCCGGGGTTAAGAGCATGAGACACTGTACAACAGGGAGGGCAGAGAAGAGGCAGCTGGCCCTCAGGGGAGGCAGCAATTGAACTGGTCTTTAAAGTGACTTGGATACATTGTAGAAATGCCAAAGGCCTTTTCTTTCCTATTCTGCTCGTGCTGCTGTTCCAGAACAGTGGGGCCTTCTCAACAATGTTCCAAACAGCACTACTCTCCCTGTGGCCAAGGAGAACAGTCAGTGGCTGGGCCCCAGGCAAGACTGGAGTCCAGCTGGGACTTAATGACATTGTACCCTACTCTTAATTGTATGCTCATTTTTTATTTATGTCAATCAATGCTGGCTTTCCTTGTGTGGTAGAGATAGAACATTCTTTTCTAAATTAATTTTGTTAAATCAAAGAGAAGTAATCTGAATCGGAACATGATGTAACTCATGGCTCAGATGGTCTGGTGGTGTGGCAAAATCACAAAGCTGTTTTGCCTGCTACCAACCCCTGGAAAGTTGAGCTCTCGTAGATGGACCACAAAACCAGGTGAGGAGGCCAGAAGAGCGTGCTGGGGACCAGCTGATTGCAGTGTTCCTGAGACAGTGATGCTTGTCACCAGAGAGTTGGCATTGGGAAGGGTGAGTCACATCATTTTTGGAAATCGACCTTTAGAATCCATGAAAATTAGCAAAACACTTAGTATGTTTTGACAAACTGGTAGAAACAACTTCACTAAGCTGGCCATCTATTGCTGGCAACTGGTTGACCTTGGGAAGCTTAAGAAGATTTGCCTTGGGCAACCAAAGGCTTTATCCCTTCTCTCTTGTGCTGTAAACAACCTGGAGGGCTGTGATGGGGAAGGTGGACCAATTGGTCTTCCCTCCATCTGTTGGACCAGCCTGTCCCCCACTATATGGACACACTGACAAAGCAACCACGGACTTATTAACAGTCACCTTGAAGGCCACAGTGGTTGGCCTTGTTCATTGTCAACCCCAACATCTTCTCTTTCCCTTACAGTTACATCTAGTGGTTCCTCTGAAAGGCCCTGTCCCCCATTTGGTTCAGGTAGGTCCTCTGTAACCCCAGGAGTCTGAAATTTTAACAGAGGATACAATTGAGATCTGGACAGCTGATGCAAAGTAGACACAACTTTCTGTCTACACGTTCAAGTCTGAATTAGGTATGTGACCATCTTGGGCAAATTAATCAGTCTCAAGATCTTGACTAGAGCTCTTAAGAAAGTTCTCTATTCAGTGTTATTATAGAGAAGAGACAACTCATATCCACAGCTCCTGAGAGGCATGTTGACACAAAACAGACTAAGTGTGTTCAACCCCAACATAGAGGAAATGGAGTTCAAGACAGAGACACTGGGTTTAAGCTTTGATGTATTAATTAAGTTCCTGGATTCAGCTGGGCCTGAAATCCACACTGTTTGTGACCTATTTACAATAGGTCATGATTTTTTCTTGCACAACATCTGTGGATTTTTAAAAATCACCTTCAATTAGAGAAATCCTGACTGAAATATGCCCCATCCTCAAGGACTCCAGGCTGAACACGTTGTAAAGGAAGCATGTGTCTTACACAGTTCAGCTGTAAACCAGCAGTAAGGGTTTTATTTGGTTCAAAATTTTTAGACTATCTGGCCTACCATCACAACCCTGTTATTTATCAGAGTTCGGATTTGAATGCAGTACTACCTCGTTCTAGGGCAGAGTTCACGCCCGCTGAGTGGTGCTAACTCTTGAACTCATACCCTGGGTTGATACTTGATTCCATCCTATCCAGTGTGTTCCTGAAGGCAAGTCATCAACTGTACATCTCTTGAGTTTCCTGATTCTCATAATCTCTCATGAGAGGCCAAGCTGGGGAACAATGGCCACGTGTCTCTACAGAGGACAATAATAAACGGTCCTCTCCCCTCTGAGATTCTTCAATGTTCCTTGATCTTCCTTGAATACCATCACTATGTGTCCCAAGAGCCGTCATCTCTCAGGACACTGCCGAGCCTCAGTCAAAGGCAAGCCTCAGCCGCTCTAGTTTGCGTCTGCTTCTTCCCAGGCAGCAGATGTGTGACCGTTGCGTTGACACTGCAGCTCTCACCGGTTGATTCAAAACCCAGGGTTGAGAACATCGAGGTTTATCTCAGCTAAGCGTCCCCTCCAGTCACCCCTGCCTGTACTTTATGACTCTTTTGAAGATTGTTTTCCCTTAAATTTAAGGGATTTAAGAGACAGGAACAAAATATATTTTGTAGTTTTCCATTATCCTGAAATTTCTTCCTCTGCCCATCCCAAAGAGCAGCGGATGCCTGGAACTTGCTCCGAAGGCAGAGACTTAAGTTCCTTTCCATGGTCTGCAAGCCTAGCTTCGTATCAGCTAGTCATGATAGTTCATCCTAAGACCCACCTACAGCTCCAGATGTCTTACTTTAAAGACAATTTACATCACAATTATGATTCAGTGAAATAAACCTGTCACAAGCCGAACTAGGCGATGCAGTCTGTAAGCCCAGCTACTCAACATTTTGAGAAAGGCGGGAGAATTCTCAGTTCAAAGAAGCCTGAGTGTCAATGTGTCCCTAAAACTTGCATTTATTTATTTATTTATTTATTTATTTATTTATTATTTTTATTTATTATAATTTATTCACTTTACATGCAGATTGCTGTTCCCCTTCCCACAGTCCCTTCCCCAACCCTCTCCTCTTCTCCTCTGAGAAAGTGGAGGCCCCCCTGGTTATTCTCTCACCCTGGAAACATCAAGTCTCTGCAGGGCTAGGTGCTTCTTCTCCCACTGAGGCCAGACAAGACAGGAAACAGCTTTAGGGATAGCCCCAACTCCAGCTGTTCTGGACCCACATGAAGACAGAGCTGCACATTTACAATATATGTGAGGCAAGGAGGGGCTAGGTCTGGTGCTCGTTGGTTGATGATTCAGTCTCTGAGAGCCCACGGATCCAGGTTACTTAACTCTGTTGGTCTTTCTGTGGAGTGCCTGTCCCCTTTTGGGTCCTCAATCCTTCCCAAGCTCTCATTTATTTATTTTGAGCATGGGATATATCTTGGTGGCAAATCACTTGTTTAGTATGTGTGAGTACTTGAGTTCTATCCCCCCAAACCATAGACACACAGACAGACAGACAGACAGACAGACAGACACACACACACACACACACACACACACTGAGAGAGAGAGAGAGAGAGAGAGAGAGAGAGAGAGAGAGAGAGAGCGCACAGTGACTTCTAAGCTGTAGTCAAGCCCATATATTTAAGGCCTAAAAGAAATTAGACCACCACCAGAAGAAATAAGACAGCTCCAGCAGAAATTGTCCCTGAGAGCTGCCTAGTTCACCCTGTGAGCTTTGCTGTGCACGCCAGGTCTCTTAGTGTCCCATCCCTATATGTCCTCTCTCCCACTGTTCTCCTACATCTAGGTGACATTCCAGGGCATAGCTTAAGACTCTGTACCTACCAATCAGAATC